CATCGATGCCGTTGTGTTCAATGCGGGGGATCGACGTTAGCCACCTCTCCCCTTGGCACAGTCCTCCCACGAGTGGCTGTGAGGTCACGAGGGACACGACATCAGCTGAAATGCATTGCGCACGCAGCACCAAAAGGTACCATGGGAATACTTCGCTCGCTTGCAAAGAAGATGACGAGTTCTGCTCCGACGCGCATATTCAAGGCGCGCAACGTCTGGGCTTCGACTAGCACTCTCCTTCGCGGGGTGGCAGCAATGACGATGGCCGACGGAGCAACGTTGACTCCCGTCGCATGGTAGCCAGATGGTTGCGAAATGGTGCATCGAGGTACTGCCACAGAATGAACAAGAGACAAGAGGCAAGAGACGTGGAAAGTGGAAAGCAGTCCTCGCCAACCAGCCAATGAAAGCGCATGTCAACGCGTCGTCTGTTCCCCACCGAACGCGTCTTTCACCACCTTCACCGCCCCTCCAAACAACCTCAGATTGACGTCCAGGAAGAAAATGTCAGAAACCCCCGTTCCAGTCCACGAGCCGCCATCTCTGCCCTCATCACCCCTCCCAAAGCGAACAAAAGTCATTGACCCCACACCTCTCTCCCACGCCTCCACTCTACCACGAGGAACAGATTCGGGCGCCGCAACACCCACACCCTTGGCGGCTACACATCTCCCCAGCCACGACAACATGGCAGCACTACAACCCTCAGTGCCTATCGCCGCACCCTCATCAGCTGGAGCAGCAGCGGCAGAACAACAATTGCAAGTCCAATTGCTGAGCCCAAATGCCAAGGCGCCGACCAAGGGAAGCGCATTTGCTGCTGGACATGACTTGTACAGTGCAGAGGACACTATGATTCCTGCACGGGGAAGGGCTCTAGTAAAGACTGATATTAAGATCTCGGTGCCGGACGGGACATGTACGTGTTCCTATATTCAAACATCCACTCTCCAGTCTCGCAGTTTGTGGGCAATCTAGAAGCACGATGCTGATTGATCTCTTGTACAGACGGCAGAGTAGCACCTCGCTCCGGCCTTGCCTACAAACACGGCATTGATACCATGGCCGGCGTTATCGACGCAGACTACCGCGGCCCCGTTGGTGTCATCCTCGCCAATCTCTCAGAGACAGACTTTCCTGTCAAGATTGGTGACCGAATCGCCCAACTTATAGTCGAGCGGGTTGTCATGCCCGACGTAGTTGTGGTCGATCAACTAGAGGATACAGTGAGGGGTGCTGGAGGCTTCGGCAGCACAGGTGGCTTTGGTGCGGCTGCTGCTGTAGCAACAGATGGTACCAAGGCTTAGGTCTACATATATCTATGATCTAGGGCATGCTGGTGAGCCACCGTGCTGATTGTGGCAAGAAGATGGATGCTTTGTTATCTAACTTGGTTCCAGTCTCTATTTGATCATCGAATCAAGGAGCGACCGATAGTTCGGCCAATGAAGCTTAACGCGGAACGGCTATGCAATCAAATATCATGAACTCTCGTCCTCCCCGACGGCTTTGCCCTGGTTGCCCTCCTGTAGTACCTGCATCGCACCACCGTCCTTCGTTCCAACACCCAAATGCAGCACATTCAACTCGTCAGGCGTCCTCTCGCCAACATGGTCAGGCACACTTTCGCCTTCGTACACTGTTCGTGGTCTGAACCTTTCAAGATCCGGCGGATCCAACATCTCCTTCACATACCGCGGCACTGTGACTTCACTAGCATTCATGAGCGCCAAATGACGCTTCTTGCTAATCTCTTCATCCGCCTCGTCCCCTTCACCACGGCCCTCTTTTGCAGCGCGAGCATCATATGCAGCCATCTTCTCCTGGCAGACCGACGTTGTGCGCGTGAGTATGGCTTGCATAGACGCGAGAACTTTCTGGCAGGCTTTCGCTAAAGGAAGTTCCTCAGCCGACACATGGTCGGGTGACCGCCAGCTTGATTTCGCATGAAGATTGAACTCGGGCGTAGAAGCAGCGTGTACAGCTTCAATTAGACGGGGAATTGTCAGCGCTGCGAACATGTCTCCTGTCCCTGAGAAGAAGAGAGGTAGTTGCGGGGTGTCGATGCGGAAGAGACGCGGTTTGTAGTCCGAGGTTGCGGTGGAGCCAATGATGGTAAGGTTTTCGACATCGTTGAGGTCGATCTGCGGCGCTTGGGGTTGTGAACCTGGTTGAGATGTTGCTGAATCGAGATGCTGCGGGTCCGAGGGGGTATTCGTGCCTGTGCCAGCCTTTGACACCGGTCTCGAGGGTATAGTCTGGTTGTCGCGCGTCAAGCGAAGGGACGTGATGATTACGTGAGGGACCTGGTAGGTCTTGTGAAGGACTTGGATCGCAGCGGCAAGGGACTTGAGATCGGTGATGGGAGTATCAGACAGTAACCTACGCTCTATCAACAACTGCCACGCTTGGTTCCGCAAGACTTTGGGATTTACTTACTCGGCCTCGAATTGGTTCGGGAGAATGAGATCTGCTTCGCGCAACAGCCCCTTGTACTCTGGCACCTCATCTTCTGGAATATACAACTTGCCATTGTCGCCCATGACCGGATCGAGCACTATCTTGGTTAATCTTGTACCTGTCACCTCGCGCAGTCACTCACCCCAGAAGAAACTGCCAGGCTTCGTGCCAGCATTGAGCTTGATATCCCTGCCAATCGTCCCTATTGCTTGCACGGCCTCGGCGCTGGGCATGTATCCTGTCAGGAGTACATCGAAGTTGGTGAGGTTTGATTGACGTAATCCTTCATAAAGGTCGAGGATCTCGGTCGCGGATGTTTTGGTGCCTTTGATTTGCTTGTATGCGGTGTGATTGCCTGAGCTGTTAGCCATGCGCCCGTCCAAGAAGGATGCCGGGTGCACCTACTATAATGCACCGTGTTGATTGCGGATACATCGCAACCTAGCGATTGCATGACAAGAGTGGCCATTTTGTTCCCGACATAGCTCAGCTCAATGTCAGTGAGTTGCATGTATCGCGACGGCACGCGACTCACCCATGGACTACCTGTCGCATGTTAGTTACAAGACACGTCTTCCGCCTATGAGTCTTACATGACTGGCAATCGCAAGCACGCGCGTGTCCGGTATTAGCGTGTCGGAGGCCATTTTTACACCAGAGAGAGAATAGAGCAGGCAGAGGAGGCGGAATGCAGGTACAAAAGTGCACGCGGGGTATGTTGTTGATTTACTATGTTGATCTTCCTTATCTGAAATTCCACGCGGTATGACGTGAAGCGTTAGTGGGGCAGTGACTTTCCTTTTGTGCCTAGGGCGCGGAACACCACGCGGGACCGCCTACTCGCCAATGTCGCACACCAGAATCATGAACCTAACAGACGCTCGATGCATATCAAAGCCATTGCGCCGCAAATCTCCCACATCTATCCTGAAAACATGCCGCTCGTGTGTCAATGAAATCATGATGCGTTTACTCTTCGTCGCCAATCTGTCCAAATTAGCCATGGTACTGTAACAGTGAGAAGTGGGTTCTTACCTTGGGTGCGAGGTAGAACCTCAGGTAGCTCTGATCCTGGAGAGCGTACTCGACCAGCAGAGGCACCTCACTAGAAAGGCAAAGCTTGACTGAGTCAGACAGGCCACTGGCCTTGCAGAAGTTGGTCAGGTACTTCAGCGAGAAGGTAAGGGAGACGGGCTCGTTCATCTCAATCAGGACAGCCTCAGACTCCTTTTCGAGACTAGGGTCTTGCTTGAGGATGACGGAACCCGAACCAATGTCGCCAGAGCACGCAAACTTGACGCCCTCCTTGGTGCACTCGATTGAGACTAGATAGACATTAGCTCGTACTTCAACTTCCGGCCACGCTGTCGCAAATGTCAAAAGACGTACCCGACTCGGACAATGCACCCAAATCTCTGCAGATGCGCTGGAACTCAGCAGCAGGCAGGGTGATTGTGGCCGCGTAGTCCGTCTCTGGGATACCCAGGTGCTCCTGGTCGATGTCCATGAGCTTAATGTCATATTCGCTGATTCTGGCTGCGCTCTTGGTCTCGAAGACCAGGTTGACAACATCTGGCGCATCCTCGGCCTTGATGGTGAGAATATCGTCGCTTCCAGCAGCACGAAGCACTTTTGTGAGGGACCCCAGATTGATACCGAGGGCGATGTTGCGGTCGCAGCGGAAGGGCGAAAAGGCTTCGGACTTGAGCATCATAGAGACGAGGGCAACGTGGGAGTTGTCCATGGCTTGGAGCGCGATACCCGAGTCATTGCAATCGAAGTTGCAGTCCTGCACGAGGTCCTTGATAGCGTCGACGACCTGTTCATCGTTAGAACAGCTTTCGCCGAGCTTTGTTTGCGCGAATGTACCTTCTTTAGGACGTTGGCCTGGTTTAAGCGTGCCTCAAGCACTGTACATGGTTAGTTTCGTTCGCTACACATGGCAGGAAATACACACTTTTGAATGTGGAGGAAGATTAAGTGAGTACGATAGCGCTAAAGGGGGTATACGAAGCGTGGTTGTGCAAGAGACAATTGCGGTGGAGGCAACAATCAATGGAGGGGAACGCGAAAGTGGTTGGCAAACGCGTCGGCCACGCGCTAAATCAGCACAGGGCATAAAGTGCCGCCAAGACCTTACATTGTGTGCCTGAGTGGTGCCGGATGCAGCAGGAGATGTCACGGTTTGATAGGTGCGTAATACTTTGTTCATAGACGTAAAAGCTGTCTTCTCTTTGGCCGGGTTTCTGACACCCTTGCCTTTGCGCATAGTAGCGATTGCCCACTCTCTGGCTTATGGCAGAGAGCGTCTTCTCCGGTGATATCGGAGTATCCCAGAGCTTGTGAGCTTCGAAGGCTAGTGCTCCTCCATGTTGTCATGACTACAGCATCTGTGGTTACCACATGTCCAAATTCTAATGGTCAACTCAAGTTGCAGTGTGCAGCTCCATGATTTCACGCCCTGACCAAGCCATAGAACAACGTCCAGGTAAGCACGAATCCCATCAACCCTCCAAACACATCTCCCAACCACAAGTCACCCAGTGGCCGATAGAAGTATGCGCCTGGCTTGCCATCTGTCTTGAGCGCAAAGAGCAGCACCGACACCACTAGCGAGCCCAGCAGATAGAATATGAAGCCTGCATACGACTCGAGGCCTAATGTGCCGGCGGCGACACCGAAGAGCGATGCAGTGAGACTGCGGATGTTGGAGACAACCTATAGCACGAACGAGTTAGTGGACAGCGCAAGACTGGTGTGGCTTGGACAAAGGCGTACCTGGGTATTGTGCTGGACGCTGGTGCCGACGATTGGGTCGATGGCAAGTTGTCGCTCCTGGTCCAGGGCTGATGCCGCCATTGTGTATCTAGTGTTGTGTGTTATGCGCCTGGAACTTGACAAGTTCCGCTGGTTGTTGCGGAGGTAGTCGGTCGAGGGTCGGGGTGTTTGATTCGGCCGTACGGTTGCTACTTCGTCCGGGCGGCTCGCTGGATGCTCGGATGTGACGTCGCGCCGATGTGCAGCTGTCGGAGATGTTTGCGACGAGAGCGGGACTTCCGGAAAGGCTCCAAGATGTACGGTGACGCTATGTTGGCTGCTTGTGATACCTCTCGTTATGGGGTGACGGTGTTGGATGCACGGAAGTGGGTTGTGGTCCGTGCCGAGACCCTGACAGCATCCTGTCCAACCTTCTGAGCGCCTGCCAACATGCATCGACATGCAAGGTATCGCGATTCGAGAACATGTCCATTATGGTGTACCTGCTAGCTAGAGAATTTCTACTAATTCCACTCACACGTCGTCATAGAGAGGCCCGTACCCGTCCAGATACCTTGGCGTGTCAGCTTATTCCGTTGCTCTATCGTGTAGACTAAGTCCTTACTGTTCCAGATGCGGTGATAGGAAGTAGTTCGGGGTATCTCTTGCGGCTCGTAAATAAGCAATTGCTTGTTGGAAATACCGACCGTTCGCCATGACGGACGTGATGTTCCCAAGGCTCATAAACGCCTCGGCAGCCTACACAAGGTTAACGAGACGAGCTATGGGCCGAAACTTTACTCACCATAGACAGGAGATGTCCAGTAATGACGCCCTGTTCTGTTGCTACGTATACCGCACGCTGGAGATAGTCTGTGGCTGGCAACAGTAATCCTCGCGCTTCGATATAGATTGCTTGGTGTAGTCGTTGTTCGGCTTCAACCAACCCCCTTGTTGTTGAGCTTAGCAGTCTAAAGTTGCTTGTATCGCTACTGAAGGAATTCCTCTCTGTACGCGCAATGCTTGACAGAGCCTTTTGCGCTCTCAGCAACCAGTTTCGACCGATTACTATAATGATTAGCGGTAATGGGTATATATATATACAAAGCCACTTACGAGTCAGAATGTCGACATTGTCGGGATATATTTGGAGTAAGGTCACTAGCTGACGCAGGCACCAATCTGCTAAGTCTTGAATAACACCGTTATCAGCATCGGCGAAGGCTACACGCTGGAAGACGCTAATAAGAGGTAACTGCCAATTCCTGCGCTCTTCTTCCGGGACGCTATCAGTTATTTCGAAAGAAACTATCGTGTTGCGAATTGCTGGTAGTTGGTCCCGCCACGAAGCAGGTGAGGTATCGAGATTGGTGTTTATGAGTTGGACAGTTTCCATCAACCTTTGTATCATGCTATCATCCATGTTGGCAAAGAAATGTCAAGTGTGGGAATCCAGAGAAGAAAAAACAATGTGCGTGTGTCGTATGTAATCGTGATGAATAAAGTATATGAGGCAGCCATCCAAAGTACATGTACATAGACATGGTTTGATAGACGGCCCTGCTTGGAAGGCTGCGGCTCATACTTGTGACTGTACCCGCCACAGGCGAAGCAATTTTGCACAGTGCCCGGATACACTGGAGGTTAAAACGCGACTGACCGCTGTCATAAGCGGATCTTGTGTAAGCTATCCGGATAGACCAGACTGGATCAAGTAAACAGAAGTAGCTAGATGCGCGTCTGCGGGTTGCGCCGAAGCAGTACCATGGCGCGACGACCCCCATGCTCATGGCTGTAGCAGCTAAGTCCGAGCATGAGGGAAGTGGTGGCAAGTAGGCGAAAGATGATGGGATCTTGCTGTAGATACAGGGTAGTTACTCCGTCGCCTGCGGTCCTGTTCCGCGAAGCGTTGTCGACAGTCAGTCCTTCTTTTCGAAATGTGTACAAGGTCACCATGTCGTGCTTGGTAAGCCCGCGTCGCGATTAGCTCAGCACGGAGAATTGAGATGGAACTACAGAGTTGCTTTTGCGGGATCTGCAAGCCGGCCACGCTGCAGATGCCATGCTGCAGGTACGTCATCGGCACTGTTATCGATTACGACGGCACCCGTACCTTGCGGTGTATATACAACACCTGAGCCTCGTCGCAGCATGTCGGACGTGTTGGAAGCCGAGCATGTCTAATCAGCCGAGCAGCGAGTAATCCACTAGTATGGATTGAATGGGTCGGAGGTGGGATGGGGAACATTGGTCCGTCCAGCGTCTAGGATGGCATGGTCAGAGAATATGTGAGGCTATGCGACTGACTCGCCGCTGCTCCGGAGGCTCAAGAAGGGGCGCGTCCTCGACGGGTGCAGTGGACACACAGTTGGCTGAGATGGTCGTCGGCCGAGGCAGTGGTATACAGGCCAAAGCGACGAGCATGCACAGCTTCCTGGTAAAGACGGCAGCCACGACGATTGCGCCTCGAGGTTACGCGCGCATATGCAAGGAACAAGGGGTAAACATGTCTGAGGGGGGGTGTTTGCCGGTGCGTAAACCGTAAACGAGCGAACGTTCCCCATGAATGTTTCATGCCAATCACAGACTACTGGCTCATTTCCCGGGACCCTGAGCTTAGTACTACTATTAGCTGACCATCCGAACCGAACCACTACATGTGTCTACAACCCTTACAACCCTCGTTGCCAGCTGCTTGCCCTACCCACAACAAACAACACCTGCATCGCCCTCATCCACGTCTCCCACGGCCACCATTGGACCCCACGCCGACCACGCGCCCGCCGCCCCTGCAGCTGCCATCCCCGCCATCTCCATATCACGGGCACCTTCCATCTCCGGATTAGAGCACCCGCAGCCATCACAAGCGATTGAGCGGGAACCGACGACGACAGCCAAAATCGCACCATGCGGCGGTAGCGACATGGAGAACATGATATCCGACGACTCGCCTCTTGCGCAGTTGCTTGAAGGTGGGCTGCCCCTAGCACGATGACGATGCCATGCGCCGTGGGCACTAACCGCCGTCCAGGACAAGGCACTGCGCCATCACCCTACGATGACCACGACCACGACACCGAGACATCGACATCCACCAACTTCCCGCAGAGCTTCGCGCCCCGCGGACCGTCGACGCTGCAGTCGAGGATAAGAGACCGGCTCCCACAGCCGCTGCGCATCCACGCCCGCCATGGCTCCATCGCCCGCATCCACACGGCCTGTTCGGTACGTGGTGCGCCTTGTTTGTCTCGGACATGCTCGTTAACAAGACACAGAAAGCCGTCAACTCCCGCATCGGCCGCGCAGACAACGAACGCTTCCTCGAGCAGTTCCGCTACCTCATCGTCGCTTCCCAGCTGCTCGGCGAGCAAGGAGGCCTGCGCGCATCCGCCATTCCCAGCTTCGCGACCGACGGACGCCCCGGCCCTCACGAGTTCAAGGTCGCCCGGATAAACCCCATCGGCGCAGCGGCCACGGGCACGACGGCCTTCGCGCTGGCATGGCTGGTGCACTGGTCGCGCCGCCAGCCTGTCTTCAGCAAGAGCCGAACCCTGCTGGTGATGCTGGTCTTCGCTGCTGTCTTTACCGCCGGCTACACGTACATGCGCCGGCAGTGGCTGCAGTATCTGCGCCAGGAGGCCGTAAAGGGCGCCTCGGACCTGGTCACAAATCTACAAGCCTTCGAGGCTTCGACGTCATCTGCCCTTGCCTTGATCCAAGAAGTGGAGCTCGTGTCACGCGGCTATCGCCTGTACGTGACCTTGCCTTCCGCCATAACTCTGCAGCCCAAGTGCTAACACCGCGCAGGAGCAGTCCCTTGCCTCCCATCTCCCGCATCGAAGAGAAGGGGCAGGCCCGTCGTTGCCAGCGGCTGCGCAAGAACCTTCGAGCTGCATACGCCGACATCGTTCCCATACTCGCTGAACAGTGCCGTAATCTGAAACAGCTAATTCAAGAAGATGATTTGGAAAAGTATCTCGACGTATACGAAATCAGCAATCCCGACATGCAAGAGGCCGCCCTGGGCTACAGCGAATCTGAGTTCGACGATGCCGAAACGTTAAAAGTCCTGCGCATCCTGCAGTATCGGTTATCAATCCTACGACGTGTATACCTCTGTTCTCTCCTGGCAATGGAGGCAGATGGCGGCAAACCCGATTTCGCGCGATGGTCGACAGTGGTCGACTCCATGTTAAATACGGCTCGTCCCGTCGGAGAGTGGAGCGAGAAGTTCAACCGCGTGCTCGCTGAAGAAGAGCAGTTCGTACTCCCATCGCCGGCCAAGGTCGCACCAACTCCTGCTCGAGACAAGATTCGCAATTCTGTGCGCAAGTTGTCTGGATTGTCGAGCGGTATTCGCGGTCTGCAAGCCAAGATGCAAGTACTCCGCGAAGAGACCAACAAGAGCTTGGAAGATACCGAAGACGTAACCGACTTGGGTCACTCCCTCCTCGCACAATACGATTCAATCGGTGCAGATCTCAAGAGTTTGGTGCAAGCTTGGGAGGCAGGCAAGAATGCGCTCGCCTTGAATATCGATCGGCACGAGCGCAGAATCTCCCAAGCATCCAGCGGCCTGCGCTCGCCTGTTCCAAGTCTAGGCGGTTTGACTGCTGTAGATGAAGGCAGTCCGTCTGATGCTCTGCGCGCTCTTAATGGCGACCTGCTGAGTCCCCACCAGAGCGCTCCATCGAGCGACCAGGGCAGCACGTCCGACGACGAAGTTTTCGAAGCTATTGCCCTTCCAAAGACACGAGCCACAATGTCGAGAGAAGAGCGCATGCAGAAGATCCAAGACGACCGCGCTCGTCAAGCCTCGTTACGTGAACAGCGAGAGTCGAATACCAACATGCTGCGAGAATTGGAGTCAGTCATAAATCTAAGGCCACACCGAGTCTCAGCGCCCCCAGCCGGCGCACGAGTTACCAGTCTCTGAAGCATCAGTTCCTTTTGTCAACCGTTTTGGACTAATTCCGGCTACCAGATGTAGCATCTCTTTCGCTTGCTTTGTTTCTTGGCGCACATCGGGTCTCAATTTGATTCTGGGCATTTACGCTATACCACTGCCGCGGTCGCATTTACTTTTCTATCACATACCTTGGAGTCGCAGGACTAATGTCTATAACGCATATGTTGTGGTCAGAATACCCACACAGAATAGTAATGACAAATATCAACATCGTTACATACAAGCTCGGTTCTGAGGAGCTCGCAACTAGCTCTGTCGTCTTTCGGCATTTGGGAAACTTGGATCACGGGCACGCGACGACGTGGCTGACGAGTGTTGGTTTCGGGAAATTCACCATCCTTGAACATTCTGGTAGCAAAAGACAGCTATTGGTACTCCGCAGTACACGTGACAGGAAGAGCCAGTAATATCTTACGACGAGATGCACATACTAAGGTTGCGAATACACTCGATGCGTTAGCATGCATTGTCTTGACATCAAACAGCTACCTTCCGTTCAGAAGGAAGCAATACACTTTTCATCATCTTTTCTATAAAAGTTGCAGTCGAGGAGGCTGTTCAACTCAGCAACATGCTCTTTCTCTTTCTTTGTGCATCACTAAGCTACACAGATGAGATGCAAGAACTGACGAACCACGGATCACTCCGGGGTTTTGCCTCAAACAATGCCTGGTGACATTCTGCCCCGAACGCGTTAGGGTGCAGCTGAAACCGAGTTCACTATGGAGCGCGACTGGTGGACTAACCGCTCTTGCCCAAGACGACCAGGTGATCCTGACTCGTCGGCACCAGCGCCTGCCACCGACCTCAGTCATCGTGTGAACTTGCTTTTTAGACCATCTTCATATCGCCGTATTACTGGGCAGCACTCAATGACGACGAACGGCTCGCTTCTTCTGTGTTCTATCCCTGTTCCTACGACTCTCACGAACAAGCAACGTCAGATCTAAACGCATTCCGCCGGGTTCACGTCTGAAAACGCAGCTAACGACACGGCCCCTCTGCCGAGTACCGACCTAGAAAGATCACTCTTCTCAACACGAATGTCGATGTCTACTCGAGAAATGCCACTCTAAGGTATTGCCATCGAACAAAAGAGATATAGAAAAAGATTGAAAGAGACGTGAAAGAGAGAGCCAATCGACGAGAAACTCAGAGCATACCAAACAATTCGTCCTTGCTCGGGGCCGGTTCTACCGGCCCGCTTTGACCCGCGATAGGGATGGTTGCTACCACAGCTCGCCTATTGTTCGTCATCATCCACGATGCCATCGGTTCGTGGTACGGGAGGAGGCGCACCGTGTCGTCTGCGCATATGGACTCTTAGCCCATCTGATCGAGCATATTGCCTTTCACAACCTTCAATGGGGCATGGATATCGAACTTTGGCCCGACTGGATCCTGCACAAGCCTGAGTCTTGAGGTGACGCGTTAGATTTCCTAATGCGTGTACACCTGTTAAGACAGTGCCACAGCGATACGGACAGGGTACGCTATACTCGCCATCGATCGGAGATGTCTCTAGTGACTGGACCAGTGGCATGGAGTATCTGACGTCTGGAGGTGATGCGGAGACGTTCGTCGTTGGAGCAGCATAAGAATATTGCGGGCTTTGGCTTTACGCCAACATCAGCACCAGCCAGCAAGTCTCGAGAGTACCACATACTAGCTTGGCGTAGGGGACGAAGGCGATAGGGACACATGCGCCGGTCCTACGGTAGTGTACCCCGGATCTATTGGGTAACTGGCTGCTGAATAAGTACTTTCGTATCTGTCACCTGGTCAGCGGATGCCTGACATTCATCGTGTGGCATGCACGTACTGATACGAATTTGCATAGGGCTGCGGCGTTGGACAACCAAATGTTGGCACTGGACCATTCTGCGGGACAGCTACTGTGCTAGTACGATATTGGTATGCGCTGTTGTGTCCTGGCAAGAGAGGTTGTTGGTAGCTGCTGTTGTGGTAGTAGGCCTCGTGAGGCTGGACATACGTGGGTACTGACGACCAGCTCTGCTGAATGTACTCTTCAGATCCAGATCCAGGAGAAGTTATCCTCCCTGCCTGTTCCGCTCCACTATCGCAAACAACTGCTGATGCGAACGGTGCTCTTCTCCTATACTCTCTGTCTTCTTGTGACCAAGGCACCTCGTCGCGCCTCTGTGTCTGATCGTACGCCATGAAGCCAAGGTTACCCGAGACCGTCTTGGAAATTATCTGAGAAGACTTTGCCCGTACAGACGTACAAAGCAGAACAACCTCTTCGACAATATGATTCTGATGGCTCCCATAAGATGACGCGAAGCTGGTTTAGTGGTCGCTAAGCCAACTGTCAAGTCAAGCGAAGCACCTGCGTGCGCTATGTCTTTGTCAGTTTCCCACTCTTCGGCGAAAGATCAATATATTGAAAACGGCTTACAGGTCCGCGTCTATGAGATGCAAAGAGGAATGACCACCATAAGAATGAATTCTTGAGTGACCCAGGATACGCACAGTGTTTATCCTGCTATACGTACTTAGTAACGAGTGGTTTAGAAGACACGCTGCAGACGTTGGAGGACCCTCGGCTGAGACACGACAGCCTGTTGCACGAGCAGTCCGGAAAGGTCAACACCAGGGCATATCGCGCCTCACCGTGTATTTGTCTGTCAAACCGGAACGCTGATCTGCCCTGTCAACATAGCTGCGTCTCAGCTTAAAGGGCGAGGGATTGTGCGACACTTCTTAGCTGGTTTTCACGCCAATCAGCTATGCCAGAGCGGCACCGGATGTGGCACAGCGCATGAGAAGCGTCGTTGGCCTCTATGCCATGGCCTTTGCCGCCTAAGGTGTACTTCAAAATTACAGTGTGCGCGCGGCTGCGGCTGCCGCGATGGTACGCCTCTTTCGAAGACCACCCCAGGAAGCAGGCAAATGTCCTAAGACGTGCAGATACGGCCACTTCCTGCTGGGATACAGTGATGCCATGTGCACACCTGGTCGCCCACACACTCGTCCGGCACCTTCCCGTCATTGAAGGTCAATGCGCACTAACATCGCCGAGGACTACAGGGCGCTCGACTTCTCAAGCCAACGAGCAGATACAGCTATGCCTGAGGATTCAGATAGTCACTTCACCAGCTCATCGAAAGCATAGTTCCCACAAATCTCCAGAGACCTTCAGAGCTATCCTGTCGGTATCGCGGGTATCAGCAACAAGCATAATGACGGACGAAACGGGCGAGTAAGTCATATGTTCTAGCCTTGTTCACCCATGCCGTCACGTTTTGCGCTTCCTGCGCGTCTGACTTGCAGCGGGTTTGTGACGAATACGAAGCTGCGTGGCGCTCCGCCAACGTTGGAAGTTTAACAAGGGATCTCCTGTTCGAACACATGTATCACGATATCGAGAACGCTTTCTTGCAAAACAAAGTGGATTGACGGGACGGCTCGCGACCGGCGCAACGCCGGCTATTAGTGGAAACTTCTCTCGCTCTTCGATACCTTACCGATAAACCCGACCGGCCCGACGGTTTCCCTATTGGCAGGGAGTTTTTTCCCGCACGATGAAGTATATCTCGAGGGGAACAATACCAGCAAAGAGAAGACTCTGGATTGTATGAAGACGAATATGTGACTAGATGTCAAAACTCGAGTCAGACGCCCATCTTCGCTACCCAATGAACATCAATATGTACAGGCTGCAAGGGCTTGGAGAACGCAACTCCAGAGGGGCACCCTGCTGAGCAACGGTCTCCTGGATAATGTGGTTCAATTCATCGCCGCTACAAGAACACGTACCCAACCACTTGGTTTCAAAGCAATGGTCTTGACCCAGCTCTACGGAACAAAGAAAAACCGTTCGCGCTCTCCCACACCTAAATTTCTTTATGGTGATGACGAACATGGCTGCATGTCAACATGACTCGTTAAAAATGAAATCTGGCTAGCGGAAGCCAACATACACCTGAGGTTCAGGTCGTGAAATAGGCTACGGCTCTTGTCCCATTTCGGCATGCGTTGGCTCACATCTATGTGAATATGCTCCAAAACGCAGTACCATCGTGGACAAGGTTCCCGTTACATGGTGCAATACGCGCATGGATGGCTTGTAAGTATTGGCTGAGATCGGCAGCGACAGGGGCTTCTGATATATTGGCAGCGGTAAATCGACTATATTACTCTTGGTACCTCCTAAGTCTCTTATACCCCTCAAAAGAGCAACCATACTCGTCGTCGACAGTCTGCAATGCATTGCATCGGGACAAGTTCTAGAAGGACGCCACATAAGAAGAAGCGGTGTGCACATGAGCATATTAGATATACACATCTGCCTCTGTTGGAGGGCATATACTACAGTGTTTGCTATGAGATCCGGGACTACATATCCCGACGACTGAGAATCGACTTGCAAGCCAGCAGTGCTCATCGACCATGTTGCTAAGGTAGTCAATGCGCTTGGAGGATTTGGTGGCGAATCGCCCGCCGCTGGCCCCCGCCACCGTCGGCAGCAGATGCATGAACAGATCTGATCAACCGTGGTGACTTGCGCGCAAAACCCTTAAGAGGAAGCTAGTAGACTCCAATGCAACAGCAGCTAGAAGCTACTCAGATCACCCTCGCAGGTCGATCCGGAACCTTGCACATGCTGTGCTGCGATAGGCATTTTTCGTCGCACTGACATTGAGGCCTGCCTAGGCCAGCCTGTCGCACCGGAAGAAGAAGACTTCCACTATTGGAATCGGGAACCAATACATCTTCTGTCGAATAGACGACATTACCTAGGGCTCTTCGGGTGATTGAGCCCCGGGTCGTTAGCACGTAGCTTCGATGCAGCTATGATCAATCATTCGATAGGTTAGCCTATAATAGTAGGTGCTTTAGATAGTATGGAGTGAGCTCGTCGTACCAGCAATTGATGATCGAGAGGCAACGTTACGCTAACTTTGTTTTGACATCATGGGATTACAGAGTAGTAGTACAAGTGATCAATCAGCGTGCAAGGCCTAAGAGCACGCAAATCTTTTGCCTTTTCTTGTACATGAAGCGAAGACCGAACACCAAAGAAACGCCTGAGCACGCAACTCATCAACCCGCAAAAAGGCTCTTTAGCAACGATATCCGGAATTCCGAAACAGATGCAAGCTGCATCCAAGATCTGGCATCACCTTTTCCGCTTCCTTGCCGGTGGGGTATTCAGCTCCGGATGGCTTCGCCGGAGGTGGACGAGCAGTGCGTCTTCACGCCCAAATGTCGATGTGCATCCTGGTTGTTCGCAACGGATATGTCTGTTGCTTCTCTGTCCCAGGCAGGGTTCGTGTCTGGCCATATGACGATTCAGGTTTCTCTGTGCGTATTGACCAGTGAATGGCGGCTTATCCACGCAGATAGAACAGCGCAGACTCGACTTGTCACTTCACGTAGGTCAGCAATGTTGATGAATGAAGTCTTTTGGCCTACCCACTTGGCTATGTTTGAGCTATTATCCTCCTTATCGTTGGCGGTATCAGAAGCTGGAGGTGTTAGGTTCCCTGTCGTTGAGTCTGGATCCAAATCCGTAGAGTTCCATGTTGAAAGATATCTGCCGTCCGGTCCGTTCATGCTGTTCACCTGCTGCTGCTCGAGATACCGCCTCCGGTCTGAATAACAGGAGGTTGCCGCAAGCGATGGCTGCCAGGACTCCCCTACAGACATCGTGCGATGATCGATAGGAAGGTGAGGATACCTTGGTGGCAGAGACGCTAGGTGGACATTCTGTGCTGCTTCATAGACTGAAGGCGGCCAGATGTAGGCAGCGATCTCTTCTGATGGCAATGAGTCTAATTGGTAGGCCCACGCAAGTTTGCGCTCGTCAGCGGTGTGTGAGGCGAGGTACGCCTCGTCATTCGGATCATTTGAATCGCTCTGCTACAGAGTCAGCTCAGCAAACAACGCCAATATTTTGCACCACATTTTGATGAGATCTCTATCATTCTACTCACCATATCGTCAAAGCCATATGTGGTCCTGTACGATCGAGTATTCTGTACTGGCATCATGTTTGCATCGTAGGCCTAAATCGCGTCTGACAACCTGTCTAGGATCGATAGGATACTAGGATGCACAAAATGAAGCGTGCGATTGTAAGTCCATCTAAAGATTAGAAGTCGATCAATCAGTGCTTTTTGACCAGGTGAATAAGGACCAAAAAGCTCGTTGCTATTAGACGCTCGACGGCCGCCGCAATCGAAGAGTGACCTAGAACCCCGACAACTCATCATATGTGCCTCGTGTGGACAACGCATAACCAAACGTATTCTGAGGCGAGAGCAGTGGTGCGATGTCGCTATCTCGCTAGATGCTATCCACTCATAATTGGGCTGTATTGGTTGCCTCGTTACCACGATGTGCTGACGACTAGTTGCCTTCTGGCTCACCGGTCCTGATAATACGTGGACGAATCCCAAGTCCTCGAAAAGGGCAGATAGCGCCGAAGGCGGCATACAAAACTCGAGAGGGAGGCCTCGGGAACGAACCCTGTCTTGTCTCGGCGTGGGCTATGTGTTGTCGAATCCATGGTGCCAGAATCGGATCGGATTGTCTTGAAGACCGCCTGGGATCACCCTAGATCGTCTGCCTACTCTAGTCCTTTGTAAAGATGTCGCACAGGCGGGGAGAGCGCCTCCGGTTCCGCCAGGCATCTGGGGCGACTTCAGCTACCCGTTTCATCGCGCAATTACCGGTTACCAAGCAGGGCTAATCGCGCAGCTGGCGAGGATAACGTCTGTGATGCCTATGGCGGGTAGGGCTGCCCTCGGCGAGCGGGTAGTCGTGGCTGAGCGGGGATCGGATTCGATATGTTGTGGCGGTACAACAGCAGCTCGTACTTAGAGACTGTGCCCCACAGGGCACAACATAGTGAACGGGAGCTAACATGAACCAGAAAGCTGCCGGCACCGTGCATCATGTTATACCAACCACGTTGGGCATCAGTCTTCATAGCAGTTGCTCGACCGCCTCACTGTTTGGGCAACGATGAGTTGCTGCGAAGTACTGCTTTTCTCTTACTGCATATCGACGGCGTCAACTGAGCACCCCACTTCAGACGAGGCGGAGGTAGATGGGTCAGCCTTGTGCATGTATACCACTGCTGAACCGCCACGTCGTTTTCAGGGCGGGATGAGAAGCCTGACACGTAGGTCACTTGATGCCATGTAAATGAT